GTGTTAGCATAAATGGGGTCTGCGCCGCCATTGGCATTAGGAGGAGCATGGAGGAATCAACGTGTTTCACAGGCCTAGTCTCCATTCCTGCGCACGGGGAACCCGCTACGCTTCGACAGCTGGGGGGCTGATAGTCACGCACACCAAACTATGTGTGATCGTACCATGTGTCTTCAAATGAAAGGCAAGATTAGAGTTGGTTGGCACGGTAAATGCCCTAAGACGACGGATTGGTACGCCTGGCAAGAAGAAATTCCGCGACCTTGGCAGGCGCTGCGTAGCATCTTTCCCAGTTAAGGTACCCTCATGTGGGCCCTATCAAACTACAACATACCGACCCGAACGCCCACCACGCCCGCCCGCCCACAAATGGACGACCGTACCTGATGCTCGTATTGCTTCATTTGCGAAGTAAAATATGAAGCGAAGGGATCGGTATAAAGCGGTCTGCATGGACTTATGAGGACAAGCGTGCAACACGACTCTTACGGGAAACCCGTCTGAAACCTCTTTCTTACTGATGGAAAAAGAAAGGCTTTTGTCTGAAGCTTTTCAACCGATTCACTTCGTTTTTTTTCGCTATTCTCCCCACCACAATAATTTGGTACTTGACCGAAAATGCTAGCAGCGCCCTGCTAGCATTTTCGGTCGAGTACCAAAATTATCGTGCCAATTGCCTTCAAAGCTGATTTTCCATCGATAAAGTCTCTGGGAGAACTATTTAGCGCTCTACTATTTGACACAGCAAGATTTTGGCTCCCATACCTTGCCCAGTTTGTAATGCATTTCCTCTTTCAGAGGCCTCTGATCCTTTCGAATCTCTCTCGGACGGTCTGGAAGAAGGAATGGGTCCCTGTGATCATTTTCCAGATCGTCGACCAAGGTGTGATGTCCGTGACATCATCGCATTCTATTTCACGGCTACATTATAGGCCGATTGTTCCCTACTGACCTTCCGCTTCTGTCTGACAGACATACCACGTATTCTGGGATCCGTCCTGAATAGCAGAATTGCAAGAATTGCATGTGGGATACAAGTGAAGCTATGATAGAGAGCTACGAAAGAAATTTACGTTCGTGAAAAGGTTCCGGTTCTCCAAAAGGATCCATCCCTGATGGCTCTATAAGTAACGGTTGCACGGAGCTGTTGCAAACTGCGAATAGTAACAGAAGGTATGAGTCGTTTCTCTGATGTATAAAGTGTTTTGTTCTTGATCACTGACCCCTTAGTGGCTCGGATCGAGCGGTTTGGAGACCCCCAAGCGATCTAGTGATGACCTTGGATCTGAACGGAGGAAATGCTCATGAAACTAAGCGAATGATTGGTCATGTCGACGTATTTGAGCCTCATTGTGCGATTGAACTGCGTTCATACACTCTGTTCCGCTGCAGATGAAGGGGCGTATCAGGTAAGAAAGGGTTTGGCCCGGCGCCTTACCCATTTCTCCCAGTTGTTAAAGTCAACAAGTGTTGAGACTGTATCATGTCGTTTAGGCCACTCATATTCCACCAATTGTTGTCGCTTTCCCCGCTTCAACTTGGCGCTGCGCTAAACCCAGCTCGACACGCTGCTTAACTAGCGAGCTAGGCTATACGTTGCAAGAGATTCGGGGAACAGTCGAAGAATCGGCGAATCGCGGAATGGGCACAATCGAAGAAACCGCCAAAAGGAATGCATTCGCATCCATCTGGCGATGTGAGGAATCATATGTATTAGTATCTGTGGTTCCCCGATTCTCCGATTCTTCCTATTCCGCTAGCTTACGCGGTTTCTCCCATTCTCCGATTCCACAATTCGCCGATTCCCACTGCTTCCGTTTCGCCGGGTATGAATTGAAAGATGTAGGAGAAGCGAAAGAAGAAGAACTCTCTATGGAAAATAATTTTTCTGAGTTGTTAGATCCTTTTCATAGTTCCATTTTTAGTGTATTTTTTAACTCCGTCCACAGGTTTTCTTATCACTGTGTGCCCCCAGCTCGAAATGGAAGGAGGAATTATTTCGGATATTCCTGACGAGTTCTTCTGTTTTTTTCCACTGTCGACTTACCCAGCATTTTTATATTCTCTCTTGAACCTCTCTTCCTACTTCCAGTTCTCATCAAGAACTTTCTATGCTCTTCGGCGTTGATATTAGCTCCTTTCTTCCATGTCTTTTTTTACTTTATCAGTTTCCAATCGAGATAATTCGAATATATAGGGGTACGAATAAGGAGAGATTCGGAGAGCTCGACAGACGTGAGAGCGCGAAAACAGAAAAGTGGTGCGTTTGAAGAGATTGGGTTCGAATTGCCTCCAGACCCCTGGGAAAGGAACCGAGCCCTTCCTAAACGATAAACTGTTCAAGGGAACAAACAGACGACGAAGGGGTTTTCAGCAGTTAAGATTCCGAGATTCCGTGCCAGTGGGGATTGAAACTTTGTTGGGAACCACAAGATGAAGAGGTATCAAAGAGGTGTCCAAGCGGATTCGATGAATGACAGATATATCCAGCCCTGGTGCCATAGACCAAAAGTCAACCCTCAAGCCATCAGAGATTACAACTAGAACAGCGGTACATGGCTCATCCTATCGTTTTTACTGCTGTCGACTTTATTTTATTCGGAAATGCTCATAATCGATGTAATTCACAGAATCGTGATGACGAGATTCTTCTACTATTTCGCGTATGGGAGTAACCTTCTCAAGGATCGTATACGGGTACAGGTCAGTACTGCCTTGCTTGCTCTTTACTGTGTTGCGACCGGCGTAGTACGGTTTGGGGGAGGGGGGAGGAGGGAGGTGAACCTCGCACTTCTGCTGCTTCTCTAGTTTTTTTACACGTCTCACTCTGGTGAAACCTGTTAACCCTTGTGAAATTGGAGCGAGCTCGTCCAGCCATCGCGATAAATTGTCTTCGTATCTCATTACTTTACAAGAGTTTACAGGAATTCTTCACAAGAATTTACAGGTTGTCTCACAAACTTTGGGTGGTAACTTCACAAAATTCCAAAGGTCTCTACTTGATGGCTCGACACGTCGATGTTAAATAGCAAAATAGCATCATCCTTCACCCCCCCCCCCTCCTGTCGCCGAAGTTGCGTCTTAAAATTTCATAAAAATGACCAGATACCCAGAAATAAAACCATAGGCGTCTCATTGAAAGGGAGCAGGAGTGAAGGTTGGACCTATTTTTCGTACTGCATCCCCTTGCAGGAGGAACACATCAGTAGGGAGGGGAGAGGAAAACTCACTGGGTACAGGCAGGCACTGCCATCGCTACGACTCACGGACTAGCTCTTACTTTATCAGCCCACGTTCGACTTCAGTCGGCAGTGCCGGAGCGCGCAGTTTCCATTACAACCGGTGATCACAGTGGAGCCAGCGTATCTCTCAAAAAATGTCCCGCCTACTCTTGGGCAATGCATTTCTGCTTCCTTCCTTACCCCAAGGCTATTGATCAGTTACCATTCGTTTCTGCTTGCCTTCCCCCTTGCTTTAGGGTTGTTTGCCATTCATTTGCAAAGTGCAGCAAGTTAATTGCCTTGAGAATGTTGCGGTACAGCGCGGTGCTGGCTTTGGTCCTTTTCGCCGCGTTATCCCCCTGATGACAGTAAGCCACGCCACACATGCGGTCGCTGGTGAGCTCTCCCACGGAGCCACGCTAGCTCGTATGGATTGAGACATGACTGGGGACCCCGAACCTTTATTACTGCCTTTGAGACTGCTAGGATGGCAATTTTATAACGATTGAAGGTTCAAGCCATAATGGTTAGTTTTGAATAAGTCTCCCCTCCCCCTCACCTCAAACTGATTTCCGCCTCCAGTGGCAAAGCTAGTGAAAGCGCAAAACCAGATTTGAAGCTGGCGAACCCTCTGGCTCTCAGAAAATGTGACTAATGTGAGCCCGGCGAGCACGGGCTCAAAGCTATCCAGGTTGGGCCCCGAGTCTCTCTACTCTCCTCCCCCCTTCCCTCACCCTTTTTCCTGAATTCATCAAAACGTTTTGCATTGTAAACAACTCGTTTTTCAGATCAAAGGAGCTGAGTACGAGTGCAATGGAGTACTGAAAAACTTCAAACTGAATTTTGTGGGCAGTTCATACTCGCGATGGCATGGCGGTATTGCCACGATCACAGAGAAACCTGGAGCAGAGGTTGGTACTTATGCAAATTTCCTAGTTCAAATTTTATCTCCAGTCGACGCACTCGACGTCAACACTTTTTGCAGAAAATAAAACTCGATATTTCTATTTTATAGCCAATTCTGATAGTCAGCTCCATGCCCCCCCCCCCCCCCCTGAGTCGGTTCTATTCGACTGTTTTTACTGTCTCGGGTTTGTGTACATATTGGGTGCGATCTAGAGCCTTTATGCTTTCCTCAGTGAAGGTGTAGTAAAGCCTTTCCATCTACCGGTGAACAAAGTAAAGCTAACGGCAACGATATAACCTCCATGGGAAAAAGGAGAAGAAACCTCCCCAGGTACAATTGAAAACGTTGAGTAAGAACTTTCTCTCACTAGAGGAGGACGACATTTTTATTACGAGCATTGCCAGGGGTTGAGAAAGATCCGGGATGGTTACTTACGTATTCTGCTGCTACCCGGGCTTATGCCAAGCATAAAATGACTTGTGCGCTTCGAATTCGCGATACGTCTGCGCGGCGGCCGCTACGTCATCGTTACCTCATCGCTGCTACGATGATGGGAGACTCCGATCATCATTGCCGACCGCTGGCCGATGGTCTACCCCAGCCAGAGATAATCAAGAAAATTTTTCGGTCGAAAAATCGCCAATAGGGGTGATCGATGGTCCTGATCACGATTCTGACACTGATTTCTGACATCGACGCAAGTTTGGTGCAAGCGCAGAAGATCCCTGTATGAGTGTACATGCCGAGTTCAGTGGGAGAGATGTGGCTCGAAATTGGCAATAAATCGCACCGCGGCAGAAAGTAAGTGACATATTCGTTATTAGGGCACTGACTATCCTATACCGAACGACGCTCAGCTACGATCTTGCTCAGTGGTATGAGAAAATTGTAATAGTCGAATGAGACCGACTCATAGGGTAAAACTTTTCAGGATAGGCCTATAAATGGTGAATATCCGAGAATATCCGAGTTTTTTTTCATGAACAGACATATAATGGAGCGAGAACAACGAAACAATAAAAATGCTAAAGTTCGCAGTGGAGGGGAATTGAACCATTATCAAAAAGCGCTCCACGTCCTGAACGATTTCCTTGGTCAGTGGAAGGGCTCTCAGGCACGTATCTACCTTTTGTGGGTGTAATCGCCCGCTGATTCAATAGCGTGGATTCAACCCGGTAGAAGACTCGGGTGGACGGTGGACGTGCGGGCTGTAAGTACGATTGGTGGATGTGTCACGGCAGCCAATCAGAGCGAGCCCTTTGCACACATTACCACCAATTCGAATTGCGCTAGGATATTTTCTTCAATGACCATTATGACTGTGCCTATTTTTCAGGTACATGGCTGTGTCTGGCGAGTTCCTGAAGAATTCGCGGGAGAGCTGGACCTACAGGAGTCTGGATATCATCGACTAATCGGTATGAAGTAGAATACGAATGAGGCTAATCTGTATTTGTCTACACTCGGCGAACTTGCAGTCGGCTACAAATGGCGATCAGACCGAGCAATGCAAGTGCCACTAATCGCTTCTTGGCATGTTTGACAGGGTTGTTCAAGGGATGAACAACAATCGCCTACTTAGAGCGAACAAGTAGAGTTTGCAGCTTGAGATGCTCGGCTGCCAGCGAAGCCGCTCAAATCCGGCTGCACAGTTCGCCGAGTGTGAGGGCTACCTCAGAGTTTTATTGTTTCATTTTCAGTACCAGTAGAATGTGCTGATGCTTTGATAGAGTGCCGGACGTATCAGTATTCGAACACCAGGGCCTCTTTAGCACCGCCGTCACCCACACTACAAAACCGTGATCGTGGCGGGAGCCATCGAACATTCCCTGCCAGAATCATACGTGAAAAGTACAACAACGTACTAGTCGCAAGAAAATGAAACAATTCCTCTCTTTTCAGGTCTAAAAGAGATGCCAGATAACGGGTACAAAGGACGGGTCGAAGTCGATGTTGACGTTATTAGACATTTGAATCAATAACAATCAATATTTGCTTCGTTACTTATTTGGTTGTGGTGCTTTTTCCGATAAACTCGAAGTTGCACAGTTATTTCGAAAAGCTGAGGCTGTTGGCAGCAGGGTACAGCACTGGGATGTGCGAAATGGCGGTGTCAGTACACCCTCCCCCCTCTCGACAACGGTCCAGTTACGACCCCTACTTCCTCGCTCTGCTGCTC